CTACTCTTATATACTATCTTATACATAATCTCATACTCTCTCTACTCTCTAATTATCAACTTTATTCACATTTCAACAAGAAAATGGCTTGTTCAAGTATCTCAAGTTAGCAATTTGGGAGACTTGGAAGCTTCAACAGTTGAAATCAATTTGAGATTCTCAATTGGCAAACTAGATAAGTTACAATTAAATTATTTTTTAGTTTTTTAGAGTTTTAATACTATAAGTTTTTAAAATGCCTGACTCCTCTCAAAATAAATTTTCACATGTTCAATTTCGATGATATTTAGTCACAATATAACAACACCAATATGGATGCTAGTGGTTCTACGAATGATGTTACTAGAGTTGCCACCGCTAGTACTACCACTAGGGGAAAGAAAAATGGTAGTAAGCTGACTAGCCTAGTCTGGAAATTGTTTACCATAGAGGAGGTTGAGGGAAGGGCAAAATAAGCTATTTGTTATAAATGCAGGAGTGGTTTTTAGTTATAGTAGTAAGGGTGGTACTGGCCATTTTGATAGACATATGACCACTCATATGAAAAATGAAGATAATAATAAAAAATCACAATCACAAATTAGGCATGAGGTTTTTTAGTAATTTTTAATATTCTCAAGAAAAATGAGAGAGAATTAGTAAAATATATTGTACATGTTAAACAACCATTTTTATTAGTTGAAGACACAAGGCTAGAAAGATTTTTACAACAATATTTAAATCCCCACTAAAAAAAAGTTTCTAGAAATATTATTAGATCAAATACTTTAAAAGGGGCAAATTTCTTAAAGTACTCCTAAGGTTTAGGAAATTGACTTAGTCACCCCTACTATTTAGAAATTGACTTAAAGTACCCCTAAGTTTTCTGACAGTTGACGATCATTGATTAATGTTAATAGAAAGATTGAAAAGACTATTTTACTCTTTAATCTTCTTTAAATTTTCAAAATGAAAACAATCATTGCTCTATCTTAACTATTCTCATCCTCACCATCAACATTACATGTACAATCCCCAACTTCTGTCTTGAGCGCCAAACTTCTTTCTCGTTTCTCATCTTGAAATTGCCAAGCTTCTATCTTAACTATTCTCCATTTGAACAACCAAATATGAGTTCCAAAATAACTAGGTAGAGCTCCTTCACACAAATTCTTTTAACCATAGGTGAATAAACCAACTAAAAACTAATTCATTGCATTGTTAATCGACATCTTCGTGTACTACGACACTCAAATGTTGCTCGGATACATGATCACCCAAGCCTTTGAGCCATTAGATCTAGGGGCAAGTTTGACTTGAACTTGGCTTGGTAGTGAGTTCCATTCTTCTTGACATTGCCCTTGTAAAATGTAGGTCAACCACTTGCCGTAGTACCATGCCACCTCCTCCTTGGTGTTTGCGCCCTCACTCTGAATCAGTGAGGTAAAAGCTTATTTCTTTCAATTCCTCTTCCATTTGTCAAAGTTCTCTCCTACTGAATATATCCTCTATTATCTTTTCTCATTTACTCTCACGCTAGAGAGTAATAGTCTCTTTGTATTGTTGAAACTAGGTTGAGCATTGTCAAACCCCCTTGTTTAAGGTTTTTACTTTTTAGTGTTGGAAATAAAAATCTTGAAGAAAGCAGAGCACCAGTTACAAAAGGGTAATATTGAGTTTTAAAAAAGTCTTGTTGGTCACGTGATGCCACATGTGAATAGATTGTGACGAAACACTAATGGATGTTAACAACAAGGGAGGTTTTAGATAATTGTTAGAAAACTTAAGGGCACTTTAAGATAATATATAAATAATAAGGGTAGAGGTAATTAATTTCCTAAACCATAGGGGTAGTTTAATAAATTTATTTTTATCCTTATAAATAAAATTTATTTTCTACTTTATCAGCATGTAATTCTAAAGTTGCACTTACTTTTAATATTTGGATTTCTAAATATAAATATAAATTATATTTTTATTATTCAACATTTTATTGATGAAAATTGACTTTTACAAAAAAGAATTTAAAGTTTTAATAGAATTGAATAGTAAATATTGAACCAACAATTGCTACAAGTATTTTAAATACTTTACATACTTATTTTCTATTAGTTTTGATAATACTAGTAATAATGATTCAACAATAAATATTTTAAAATCTCAATTAAAATGATGTTTAAATGGTGAATTATTTCATAATAGATGTGCATGCCACATCTTAAATTTATGTGTTCAAGATGCTTTAAATATTATTTCCCATCATATTTCTACAATTAGAAATTGTATTACATATATTTGAAGTTTTGGAACAATAAAACAAGAATTTAAATATTCATATCAAAATATGGTTTAAAATATAAAAGTTTTGTATTAGATATTTAACATAGGTGAAATTCTACCTATTCTATTTAAGAAAGTTGTATTTTAAGCAAAGATATTCTTAGTAATTTTTATAATGAAAAATGCCACATGATTTATAATTGATGATGATTGGAAAATGACAATTTGTATAAAAATACAACTAATGAATTTTTGGGTGTTTATTACCCAATTTTTTGTATTTTAGTTAATCATTTATTTATGATTAGTGAATGTTTTGCAAAATATAGAAATAATTTAAATTTTCATAATATTATTAAAATAATGGAGGTTACATTTAAAAAATATTGAGAAAATACTTCTCCTCTATATTGCTTTGCTACTATGTTAGCTCCTAGGATTAGGAAAAATGGTTTAGATGTTTTATTTGAATCTTACTATGAAAATATAAATATTGATATTGAAAATAAAAAAGAGGAAATTAATAGTTTATTATTTGAAATATACAATTTATATGAATCTTAATTATTAGGTTATAGGAAAACTTTTATAGGTATGACTTTCACATCTAAAACATTTAGTTCTAATAGTGAAAGAGAAAAATTTTGGTCTTTAATAAATAAAAGGCAGAAATCTACTGCCACTTCATCATCAAGTTCATTTATTGAACATAATTTTTATTTACAAGCTATTTTTTTTCTAATTTAATTGATTTCCTTGATTTGGAGGAATTAAATAATTTTTATATTTTATATATCTTGGTAGAGTGGATATGGAAAAATTATCTAATTTGTCGTCATGGTATGTGATCTGTTAATCCCTTTGGTGTTTATAATTCCATTGGAGTCTTGTTTTAGTGCAGGTACTAGGGTGCTAGATGACAAGAGAAGCTACATGAATGATGAAAGCCTGGAGATGTGCATATGCTTGAAAGAGTGGTTGGATGCTAAGAATAAACTACATGGTAAAGGAGGGTATGACACTTTACCTGATATTTCACCAAAAGCAAATGATGTAGATTAGGGTCAAGGATGATGGAGGTGGAACTTGAAGAAAATGTCGAAGTCAATATTTTTTTGGTATACTCAATAACTGTATAGCATTTTTAAAATTATTGTAAATTTTTTTTTTCAATTTTACTTAAATTATGTTATTTTTCAATACTATTGTAATTTTTTATTTTCAGTTTTATTATATTGTTTTTATATTTTATTCGATTTCCAATATTACACTGTATTGTTTAAATTCAAATGAAATAAAATTTCTAAAGTTTTCTTTTCAGTTAGTTATCTATTTTATATTTTGTTAAGTATATTTTGTTAAATGTTTATTTTTCCTAAAGTTTGTATATTATCTTTTAGACATTACTTATCAAAAAATGAAAAAAGATAATAAAAAATCCAAAAAAAAAAGACTGGCCTGACTTTGCCTAGGCCCACAGCCCAGCCCGTAGCTCAGCTTAGGCCAAATCCACAGCCTTACTTGTAGCTTGCCCGGCCTAGGCCCATAGCATGGCATGACCCAGCCTGGGCTCATGCCATGGGCCATTCTAGGCTTGACCTATTAAGGATCCCAAAGGAGGTAGGAACTACCCACGTAGGCCTACGGGCTATTATAGCATGGCCCACAAAGCTGACACAACTTGATTTACACCTCTATATAGGGTGGAATGCTTGCATACCTTATTCATGCTTATTATAGAACCTCCATATAGGCTAGTTAGATTGGTGCCCCACCTATTGGACATAGGAGAGGGATGCCTAATCCCTTCCCTCTCCTATCCAAGTCTTACCTGGACTAGTTAGATTGGCACCTCACATATGGAATCACTAGAAAAACCAGTAGAAAAGCCTGGGAGGCCCATCACTCCCAATTCATTCACAATGATGGATGTTGACTCCAAATCAGCCCATGTGAACCATTTTCTAATGCTCACAATTTTAGTAAATGACCCAAAGATTTGCTTAAACTAAATGACGATATGAAATTATCTAGCAAATTTTAATAAATCCAAAATACTATATACAAATTTATTTTGGATCAAAAGATGATATCGGAAAAACTTTATGGGGTGATTTGATTGGTCAAAACTCTTCCATACCATGCCTTTCAAGTATCATAGATTTTTCTATTTCTATATTATTAAGACTTAAGATATAAAAATTCAGAATTTTACCAAAAAAATTCGGATTTTATGATACCAGCTGATTGGTGATTGGTAACAAGTTTTCCAGTATCATATTCGAACCCAATTGATTTTTTTTTTTTTTCTTTTTGTGGCTGAATATATGGTTTTTCTTGTCATTACACATTATATAGGGAAAGTTTAAGTAATTATCCCTTAAGTTAATTACCAACGGGCATTCAAACCCGTTGGATTCAATAATTACAGAAATCTACGGCGCAGAAAATTGCGATAATGAGATTAATATTTGGGGGTCCCACAGTCACAATTCACAAATGGCCAGGAACAGGATACTACCTTTATCGTTTAACTAATTGACTGAGTATATACTGTTTGAAAATTTACTAACAATACTGACTAACTCTTCCCTTACTTTAACATTCGTTAATGCTCACCACAATCTATGCACATATGATCCCACGTGACTTATACAATTTTTTAAAATCCAATATTACCCTCGTACCCTGAGCCCCCACTCTCTCTTTCTTCTGAGACCTTCCCATCCGCCTCTGTCTCTCTCCGGTCTCTCTCGCCATTCTCAAACCTCCCCCTCTGCATCTCATCTCTCTCCTTCTCTCTTCCTCTATTTCTCTTTCTCTCATTGTATGCTTGCATACTCTTCAACTCAGATTAATACCAAAATACCTCTTTTCATTTCCTGTTAGTCTTTGGTTATTTGTTGTATTTAGATCCGCTGTTGGAACAATGAGTTGTAGCGGTGGTGGCGATGATGAAACAGTAAAATGAGAGAGGACTCGGAGGAGAGAAGGAGAAGAAAAAAATGAAGAGAAAGTGTGAGAGAATAACAGAGATTAAAGAGAAAAGTGCCATCGCTGCTTCTGGTTCAAGCAGAGGTCGATGATGAAAGGTACTGTAACAGGAGAGAGAAATGGGGGAGAATGGCCGGAGGGGTGCCGCTGGTTCACCACCGCCCTTCTGTTTTCGTTCGAAGAGTGGTCATCGCCGTCCCGGTCAAAGAGAGAGTTAGAGAGGAGGGGAGTGGAGAGGCCACCCCTGGCTACACATCCCGGTCAGCGTGGGAGCAAGAAGCCGCCATCAACACTGAGCTCAGAGTGGACGGCTACCTCAGCCCATTCCTAGTCACCGGATAACAGGGGACAAAGAGGGAAGCCACGATTGTCAGGCCAAGATCTTTGGTTGAACCTCTCTTTAACGATAGAAGATCTTCCGTCTTCAGCAGAAACTGATCCATTAACCGAAGGGGTGCCGCTGGTTTGCCGCCCCTCTGTTTTCATTCGAAGAGGGGTCATCGCCGCTGCCGGAGCGAGAAGGGGGGTGTCGCTGGTTCGCCGCCCCTCTGTTTTCGTTCGAAGAGGGGTCATCGCCGTTGCCGGAGCGAGAACGGGGGTGTCGGTGGTTCGCCGTTGTGTGCAGTTGCGTCTTCACTGTTTCGAAGAGGGGTGCCGCTGGTTCGCCGCCCCTCTGTTTTTATTTGAAGAGGGGTCATCGCCGCCGCCGGAGCGAGAAGGGGGTGCCGCTGGTTCGCTGCTGTGTGCAGCTGCATCTTCACTCTTCACTGTTCGAAGAGGGGTGCTGCTGGTTCGCCGCCTCTTTATCTCTTTCTTCCCTGTCTTTTTTCCCATCCCTTCCCTCATTTATTTTTTGCATTTTGGATCATTGTTCACCATCATCTTCAAACTCCCAAGCTCGAGCTAGACGTCACAGCGGCGACAAACCGTAGATTCTCCAATAGGCAGAATCCGATGTTATGAAAGGGGTTTTTAGGTGAAAAAATGATTGGGATATAAGTGCTGAAATCACCGATTTCAGCTTTTGCTTTTTCTCTGTTTTATTTTGAAAATTTGAAAAAAAATAAAGGGTAAAATAGTATTTTTTTGCCTTTCTGTTAACGGTCGTTAACGGTAAGGAACAGTAAAATAGTGTTAATCAATTTTCAAATAGTAAGGTTAGTCAATTAGTTAAACGGGTAGTTTAAGAAATTTACCCAAAAAAAACAAAAAGGTAAATGGCATAGTAACGAAGAAAACTGATAACCAAGCATACCACTCTCCTGCTGAGAAGGGACGAACGATGGATATGGAATTTGGGTTGCTGTGGCTCCAAATCGAACACGAAGTGAGGCTTATAAAACTTTACCCGCTAACCCGCCCATCTATGACTACCGTTCTTTCTCCTCTCTGAGCTTCAATTACTTCGTCAATGGAGCTCTACGGAGCTACTCTCTCTTGGACAAGCTCCATATCTCTGCCGATTCACATTGCACAACCTCCATCTGTAAGTGCCGAGAGCTTTACTCAAGTATTTATAATTATTGTTACCGTTGTTCCTTTTGATAATGGTTTTGTTGTGGTATTGTGGTCTCTAAATTTATTACTGGGTCCGTAGATATGGGGGATTAAGAGATTTAGGCTCTTTTGTCTCAACAACATCAAGAATGTCTCTGATGAGACTCAGAAGGTATGTATTACTTCTTTGTATTGCTTTTCTTTCTTGGATATTTGGATTTTTGGATATTTGGTTTCAGTCATCTGTGTTAGAGATGATTTTTTTTGGCGGTCACTGCATTTCCTTATTTTTTTTTTCAGTGGTTGTATTTGAGTTCTTTCTTCCAATTTTCCAGATATCCCAGCTGCCTCTTCTATGTTGTGATTTGATTTTCTGCTTTTAACCTACTAAGAATGTTACTGAACAGTGAACACTTGTATTTGTTTGAATATGTTGTTCTGCATTAATATTTCGGTTTTCCCCTTCAATGATATTCTTCGTTATTAATTCAGTTGTTCCAAACAGTTGCCTTCTCTTTACATTTTTTTTTTCTTTTCTTTTATAGATAGTAACGCGGATCAGGGTTTTCCTGGTATGGGCTTTGAGTGATATTAGTGTCGGTGGGAGTGACTGTTGAAGGAAAAAAATGACTTTCTGCTATGTGCATTGCAGCTTGATATTTCTATGACTATAAGAATCAATATCTTCCATTGATCTAATCATTTCTATTTTTTTTTTAGTTCTTTCCTGGCCCTGCTTTATATTTTTCCCTCATGAATATAACTTAGATTTTAATGAGAACTGGTTATGCTAAATCTTCCCAGAAATTAATTTGCCTGACACAATTGTATCATAGAATATGCCTACTTCTTAGGTTCTACCCATTCATTTTAACTTCTATTATGCTAAAGAAGGTGCCCCATGAATGAGAAATTCAGTTTTAACTGCATGGCAAAATGTCTTTGGGCTATCCAACCAATTTTCTTTACCACCTTGTCATCCCACCAGTGTTCAAATTCTTATTATGGGAATTTCTTTTGGGAAAGTGCTTTATAGCTGTGAGAAATGCAAATACTTTTCCAAAACAACTTCTACATCCATCACAGGCAGCTACTGATCAATTTGGTCAGTAGCTTTGCTCATATCCCCTATAAAGGGACGTAGTCCAAACATTGAAATGAAAGGAACTGGTGACTTCTACGGTTCTACTTGCAATCTATTTATTAGATTTCTTCTACATATCAATTTTGTCTTTCAAACAGATGGTTAATTTATAGTATCTCATTATTGTCTTGTAGCCTTTGCCCATCCTAGAACTTGATATGGCCTACCTATTGGATAGAGCCTGTTGATGCATGTTAGGCCTGTTCATGGGCTGTGCTTCAGGCTCGGCCATGAACATTTTACATTGCTTTGGGCTTGGGTTCTTTGGCCAAGTCCATTCAAATTTTGACAAAAGCTAAGCCTGGGCTCAGCCCATGAACAGGTCTAATGCATATAAGAGCCAAGGCACCCATGTAGTGTCAATGAAATGGATTTTGTGGCTGTCAGGACTCAAGAAGTCTATTTGATAAATTTTGTATTTCCACGAGTATTTCATTGACTCATTTGAGTCCATTGTAGGATAATCGGATGGTTGTATCAATAACAGGAGCTACAGGTTTTATAGGTAAAAGATTGGTCCAAAGGCTGCATGCAGGTAATGGTTTCTCGACTTTGTAGCAATGCTATAATAATTGCATTATATTATGGTTTATAATAATAAGGTTGACCATATAAAACATGAATAGAATAGGATTTCAAGGCAAGACATAGGCTGATAAATGTTGAAAGAACTTTGTATATGATTTTCACTAAAATCTGTATCATGTTCCTGAATCTTATTTGTCTGTAATGTAGTACAACTATCATCGCAATCTTAAACCGCATTAAAGAGATGTTAATAACTTTTAATGTTTTGTACTCTCAAATATGTTTGCTTCTTGTTCTTGAAAATTCCATGCATTATCTTGCATATCAGAGTATCAGTTTTCAGGTCCTTCCTTGTTATTAGATGGGGGTCTGTTCATTTGATATCCTTGAGTAATTTGCAGGTTCCTTACCATGCTTGGTCTCATCTGTCTGGTAGTTGAAGTTTATTTTTCTGAACAATTCTGGAAATTTGGGTGCATTGTAATATGGGCACTGTCATCGCATACAGGAATACTTTGTGAGGCCTAGGTTTTTGGTAATTTCCTATGGAAGTTGATGGCAGTGCCTATACTAGCATGCCCTCATATGGCTAAGATTGCGCCTCTTTTTATTGTTTTACAGTTAAATCCTATAGACATAATTGCCTCCTGTCATATAGTTTGTCCTTGATTACACCATACATCTATATTCCATGTACTATATATAGAAATCCTCAATTATATGCAAACTTTCCTGACATGTTATAGTGTTATAAGTAGCCAGGACCAACCTTTTGTGGGTCCTACTGGTAGACATTATCAGTGAAGAACCATTGTGACTGAATAATATACAAATTCTGTTAGCAAGATGTTAACAAGAATTAGTATGTCTTTATCAAAAAATCTGCTGCAGTCTAAATTTCTGGATTCCTTCTGCACTGACAACCAAGAACATATCTTCCCTTTGGTTCTTCCCAGTACCGCACTCCTCTTTGGAACTATGGTTCTGAAATATCCAATCATTTCTCTTCTCCAAACACACCAGACCACAGACAATGGAAGTAGGCCCCAGACAATTCTGCCTTTTTACTTAAGCACGCCAGCTATGCATAAGTGACATGGTGGACATTGGGAAGCACACCACCCATTGGAACATTGCAAGAACTGTGCTCTGCACTGTGGCTGTAAATGGGAAATGCAAGAGTAGGTGATTTACTGTCTCCACGTCTGTGGAATAAAAGAGAGCATGCCCCCTGCTTTGCAGCCCATCACAAGTCGAACACTTCTTGGATACTACCGTCCAAACAAAAAAGTTAATTTTAGAGAGAGCAGACTGCTGGATTTTTCTATCAGGAAGTTCACTCGTACTGCATTGGTTCAGTTTCCTGTGAAATGATTTCACTGAGAACAGCCCATTTGTTTAGTTCTATACTTTCAAATAGTCTTTCTTGTTTTTTTTTTTTTTTTTTCCGGATTTCCCTAGTTGTGTAGAAAAAGATTTTCATTTTGTGTAAACAACTGGTATTTATGTTTTTAGCCTAAATAGAGACTTTCATTTGAAGTTTGGTTTGGTCGTCCAAATGAATGCACTATATGTCATGTTAGTGGTGTTAGTGAAGGGGTATTTTGGTCTTTGCACTTGTTGAGAATGTTGATGTGTACTGTTATGTTAGTTCGAGTGCCTCTTACTTAAATAAGGGCACTTAAGTCTTTTCCAATAAGTTAATAATATAATAACAGGTCTGGCCGAATCTAGGGATAAC